AGCGTTTACTATGGAACGCAGGATCCGCAGGGTTGGTCTAGCTGTTATGGTTGTACCAATACAGAGCTGTATGAGCACCGAAGTGATTGGAAGAATTCCGTTCCCCCTTATGGGGCGCGCCTGGCGAAGCCAGGCCAGCTCGGCGAAGAGCCGAGCTAGAGAGAAGGAGGAGAGCAGCCGGGCGATCCGACTGGTATGCTCATAAATGGCAAATGTCCATGTTATGCTCACGCAAAGACATTTATGGAAGCAGCGAAACCAAAAAAATGCAAAAGGCTGCACGCCTAGCGGAGTCGAACCATCGACACCCACCCTCACTGCCTGATTGAGAACCCTCCACGCTATCCACTAGGTCATCCCAACGTTGTAGCTGAGCACCGCTCCGATCGTTGAAGAAACAATTCCGACGAGCCACTCAGAGCAGCTCACTCTTGATCACGTGCCTTAAGTAAGACCCCCTTCGCGACAATTTTTCTCCTCGATACCCATAGATCCTTTATAAGGACCCAAAACTCTGCAACTGGTCAAAGTTGCAAGTGATGTGGAACCCATAGAGCCTCAAAATTGATTGGTTTCCATACACTTCTTTTTCACTCCTTCTTTTAGTATTCAAAAAGCCATTTAGGAAAAATGAACATCAGTTTGGTAGCCCATGAACGTGGCCCCACATCATGCAAAACACCGTTTTCAAAAAGCACGCCACGTCCTGAACGCCCCTCCCCCTTGGTGAGAGTGATAGTGTCAAATGGTAAGTGTGTGATCAAGAACCCGCTGTTCAGCACAGAAGTTCAATGGGGTCAAAGCAGAGGTCGCTCTCCGCTACCTTCACTAAAAATCGAGCGGTGGAGACAGCGTGCTGTTCATCAACGCAGGAGTGTTGAGATCGTCGAGAAAATGGGTAACACACTCGATAACATTAGATTCAAAGCAACGAGCTCGTTCATGTCAGTGGGTTGGACGTTGTCTTCACAGCTCGATTTTCACTGAAGTGGCGGCGAGTGACCTCTGCTTCGACACTTTCAATTTCTGCGCTGGGCGGCGGGTTTTTGGTCGCACACTACCATTTAACCCCAACACTTGCAGTGTTCTTCTAGCTAGTGCACTTGCTGAGATTTGTCTCATTAATGCTGTTGAACTTGCCTTTGATGTCGACGCATGCGGACACGAAATCAGCCTGCGAGCGATGTTTGCTGCGTCTAGCCTAGCGAAAAGATGTCAAACGTGCCCCAACGGTCTCTCAAATGCTTAACACAGTCTTACTGTTGTGACCACGATTTCAGTGTGCGTTTAGAAACTGTACTCAGGAAAGGCGCGCTTCTACTCCGACATTTTTCGTCTTCTTCATACCTTTTTTCAACTCTGTTATTTCACATCCACTCTTCACAGCATGGCGGCACTCATGCACGCCCTCGTCACTCGGAACGAAGCTTCCCTTTTGTCTGGTCTTTCCCTTTTCCTTTCATCCTATGTGACGAGAGAGGCCATAATCTGCCAGTGCGGCTAGCTCGCCGATCTGCATCATTTTTGAAAAGTAGGCGGGGCTCCTACAAAGGTGGCGGAGCTTCCATCAGTGGGACGGGCCGCTTGTCATAGCCTAAAAAAGTGAAACTTCGGAAGAAGAATCAAAGTTCCGCGAAAAAACGAAAGGGGCGTGGTCAGAGGGGCGGGGCTAGGGTGCTAGTGTGTAAATGCATGACTATATTCGTTCTGTGAAGATTGAATGTGAAAAAAACAACGTCGAAAAAAGTTATAAAAATTCGGAACTTCCGTCACTTCACTGTGAAGTGGGCGGAGTCATATTTGTGTCCGTAGCAAACCTATTCAGCTAAATGTGTGTGTGCCAAGTAGCAAAAGTGAAAAAAATTGGAAAAAGCAGAATTCATAAAACATTTTGGAAAACCGTGACCGCGCTGAAAAGTGGGTGGAGATGTTGGGGCGGGGCTTGCAGCAGTACCAAGTGTGGTCTAGTTCTCAACTGCCCATCGTAAGGGATGTGTCCGATTTGATTCAAAAATTATTTGATGAAATGGTATATATACGGGGGAAAGCAAAAAAAAGTCACTTCGACCGAGTCACATATCAGCAAAGTTTTCGCTGCCTAGACAGAGGACGTGGATACGGGATGGAAGATACCCAAGATGTTCCGCGATAAGCAGGAGCAGGTTCTCGCTCATCACCTATATGTACACCAAAATATGAAGTCATCTCCAATCGCAGCCGAACTGGAAAATGCCTATGGAATTCACGTCACCTCTAGACAGCTGCGAAACTTCTTGTATGGAGTCACCCATGGATAGCTACCTGGAGATATGAAAGACCTCCAACATCGAGACGCTCCGACAACGTCGCTGCGATCCAGGATATCATCTTCAACGCATCGCCAAGGCGCGGGCTGGTGGTATGGATCGGAACTTCCTGGGATGTGAGGACCGATGTTTTCTTCTTAGACCCCAGACTAAAAGTGAACGCTTTCGTGGACCCCGGACTGAAAGTGAGCGCTGACGGTTACATCGACCAACTCGTGGAGAATATCCTGCCTTTATGTCATCGCCTGTACTTGTTGGCAACTTGGTACAGCTACTGAATGGGTGCCTCCACACGGAATCGAAGGGCGTTGGGAAAAAGCTCGCCTACTTGGAACTGAAGAGCGTTGAGTACCTAAAGAAGACGGAATATCCAAGTGTTCCACCTGACCTAAACCTCTCCCCCCTTCCGATTATCGGGTCTGGGCGGAGCTCAACAGGGTGGTCTACAGTGGCGGAGAAATCAACGATCTCGCTGAACTCAGACACCGAATCGTGGTTGCGTGGCAGGGTCTCTCGATGGCATTCGTCCAGAAGGCTGTGGTGGAATATCATGATAGTATACAATATGCTGTTAAATATGTGATCGGAATGTTCAATCGGAATTTAATAAAGTGTAACTTATAGCGCCTTGAAAGTCAAGAAAGGAAAGTGACATTTTGCCCCCCCCCCCTTATACCAATCGGATCGCCCGGCTGACGCCAGGCTCTCCTCCTTCTTGTGACACTGCGCGGCATCGTTGGGCCGGCCTGAGTCTTCACGCTGACTCAAACTGACCTACTCAGCCAACGTCTCTTTCATCCTGGCTTCATAATAGAACAGTAGCGAACTCGTTGTAAGCAAACTCTCAGCGAACTAACAGTTCTCAGCCAATCCCACAATGAAGAGCAGCTATCTTATTTACCTGTATCGGTGCAAAAAGTAATGAATATTAAGACCACGTTTCTAAACGAAAATTCAAGCAAATGGCTCGAATATAACCGAGTAACCGGGTATCATCTGCCAACCTGAGTCCCCGGTAAAATGTCTAGACTTCTGATAAATGTGGCCAATTTCCGCAAATGTATGCTATTAGGCCGCATTCATAGCTTGCGACTGTGAAGAAATGCAGAAATGAAGAAGTGCGGAATGTACAGAAATGACGAAAAGCATTAAGTCCATATCGATCTCGAAAAATATAGAAAAGCGGAATCCATTACATCATTACTGGAACCGACGCTACGAATTTGATGGCCCGCACCTCTAACGCCCCTTATGGAAACTTATCAAGTATTACACTTCTTGTCACCCACCAGCAATGTTCCTGTTCCTGTCCCCTGCCCTACATCACATCTTGGAAGCAACGATCTACCATTGCTGGGACCGGCGCTCTGAATTTCATAAAATGACAGACGCGTGACGTGCTGAGTTGTGAGACAGACGCGCACACGCACACATACATACACGCAGGGACAAAGCGGACTTATATAGTAGGATATATACGTATATGCAGGCCCTGTTGTGCGGGTTGAAGTTTTGTGACCTCTTGCACCACTATGGTCGAGTTTTTGCTGTTTCACAATTTAAAGTCGCTGTTCCAACAGACGTCTTGTTTGCTCGTTTGGCATCACTAACAGTCTAGTGATTCATTTGGTGGGATACTCGGATTTCTCTCTTTGACATATTCTTTTGCTGCTGCCGCAGCGGCGGAGTATCACATGTACCGTCGACTTCTTGTTCCGATTTTTGGGATGTATCTATGAAAGGGAAGTGAGAGGAAAACCTGCCGAGTAGTTCTTTCTGCAAAAACTCGTTATACGTGCTCGTACTCGATTCGCAGTTGGGTGATGACAGAATCTAGTCTTTCACAAGGAGATCCCTGATCTATTCTGCGCCTCCATCGCTTGAAGGCTGGAATAGAGTTTCTCGAATAGTGCTTCTCTGTCGCTATTTAGGTATAGGGTAGAGGTAGCCATTGATTAAATTTCCAGTGAAGCTGGGGTACTCGACACTTAAGAAGACTTACATTCTTGCTGAAGTAAGTTCAAGCTTGTATGCGCTTCCTGTGCTTCATCCAGCAGTCCGCGCGGGAAATGACCACGAGCAGACCACTAGCCGTAGCAACTCCAATAGCAAAACACCGCTATAATCTAATATCGCAACAGAATACTCATCACAAGGAAGGTCAGACCACGAAAATGCTGTCATTTCTTCACTGAGCGGAGTGGATGTTTTCGCAATACAACCGGAGCCAGGAGTTGAAACAGAAGATTGCCACTCGCTCAGGCAGAGGACCAGATAAGTTGGGATAGCAGCTGGACTGGGATCGGACAAGGAAGAAATCGCTTTGGAAAGAACATCACTACGGCCGACAGATTGGATACAGACGAGAAACGAGGTCGGTACTTGCTCAAAGGGCGAATCTACCAGCTCTCTCATAAAGAACGACAGGAAGACAGGAAATAAGAAAAAGGCCGAAAGCTTTATAGGTGTCTCCCACTTTAGTCCGGAGCTGGACTTCAGAGAAATACTCTATTACCCTCGCAGTTGTACCTGGTTGTGTTTTTACAACGTGATGAAAAAGTGAAAGCAGCAATCATACGTGGTTGTGACAGTATAACGTAATGAAAAATGGAAGCGTGGAAAAAATTAATGTAACACAAAGTATATAAGCGAAGAAAGGGTGAAACAATTAACCCCTGATTTTCCTTTCCCGATTCACTTTGTATTTACCTGACTGCATGCAAAGGCAATGATCGGCTCGTGGTCTTTCTGGACAATCTTGTACGCATCGGGGAGCGGGAAACTTCCCGCAGCTGCTGATGTGTCACTTTCCGGTAGTTCCTAAAATGAAATTAGTGGAACATTCGGCATAAAAGGACTAATGTTATACAAACTTTATTCACAGACAGTAATCGTACTTGCTGCACGTCCGTTGGAAACACATGCTGAATAAAAATGCTTTGAAGATGATCTTGATTGGATAGATATGTCCAAAGGCGCCGTATGGGACCAGTTCGCGGATCGTCTGACTCGAACGGCGTTTCGTTCTTTTCTGCCAGAGTTGCGCTCCTGTAAATATGAGCAGTAAAAAGTTTATGTAGTTGTAAAGATTAATTGACAAAGAGATCCGACCCTGACATGGATATGGGAACAGTGTTGTTGATGTTTACTATCATGTTCGACAGAATATCAACAGAGCAGCCATCATGGCGCGACCACAAGGCTTGCCGTGATTGTATAATCCATCCATCCAAAAGGCGGAAGACGGCTTCGACACGAGGAAGAACTGCGGGAATATCTGAAGTAAACCCTTCTGAGCAACGAAAAGGTTTTGGGATAAGTGTCACGTTTCTTTCTACCGTGTGTAGTAAGTCTATGGAAAGAATAAAACGGAACTTGTAGAAAGTCTTTGTCCATGGAAGTACTTATCTTTCCATCCTATCAAAGAGCAATGGGATTACAGGGTGCTCAGGAAAGTGAGGTGTGTGAGTCCGAGTCATCATTCATCCTTTTCATCCTTGCTCTATATGCCTCAAAAAATAGGTATGCCTGTTCTGTCTGTTTCTCTCTTTGCCTTTCTCTTCGTTGAGCGAGTAGAATTGGAAAATGCCCCAAAGGTGCTGCAGTGTTTACAGGGGATTTCGTGTCATAAAACATCCTGTGCGTTGAGAATGACAGAACTGTGCCACCACCAGACCGACCTACAGCCCAGATCTGGGCAACATGCATGAATCAGGCTTCATGCCCGTTCGAGCAAGAATTTCACTGTAAAATTTAAACCGTATCTTAGCACCGTATATTCAGTACTATGGGTGCGACCACTCTGAAGGTTCTGAAGGTTTAAAGCGTGCAGTCATTCATTCTCAAGTGTTTCCGCCTAGAGATGATACTCTCCGACGTCTAGATAGTTTACTGCTTACTACGGACATTTATCTGCCCGGATAAAGGCAGGTTTCGCCGCTCTGACGTCGAGCTGAAACTCAACTGCATCGAACTCGCAGCTTATTAGGTTGCATAAAAACTTTCGGCGGTTTTTCGTACATATATTAACAAACATTTTTTCACAGGAACTCAATTTCAGTATAAATTGACCGTTAGTACCTTCGACCTTTTGCCATTTATTGGTAATTTCATAATTATATTGGTGTAGAACTCCTATGATTTATCATAGCATTAGGGGAGTTGGGAGTTTTGCAGTAGTCAAAGCAAATGATATCTTTATCTTTATTCAGTACGTTGTGTAAGGCAACGTGAGAAAAAAAACACGAAATAGATTACGAAACCCAGATTAAGGAAACATGCAGAGAAAAAAAAACAGCAAATGACAACTATGAAGCAAGCAGTTGTTTAGCTAGCGACCTTTTAAAAGATGCCATAAAGGTTATATGGATGCAGTTCTGTTAAGGTCCAAAGAAGCAAGTCCTGCTCTGACAGTGGAAAAATTCCGTCTAAGCGTCGTTTTAGGTCTAGGAAAAGAGAACTTCAGCTCAGCCCTTCTAGTAATATACGGAAGGACGTTGTAGAAGGAAGAGCAATTCATGGCGAACCTCTTTCTGAAAAGCCTATGGAGCACACATAAATCAAAGTTTTACATCGAGAATGGAGTGTTGGATGTTCGAAGTACTTATTCCTTACTGATGCTTTTGGAATCTTAGCATACAGAAAACCTGCGCGACGGATAAGTATTTTTATTGTGAAATTGTTTTGAACCTCTCCAACGAGAGCAACATCTTTTATCTCACTAGGGCAGAATACAACAGTCCCATTTTCCACCGACGGTCGAACGTGAGTTTATATGCGCGAATAAGTACCTACTGTCATTTGTTACCACGGCCTTGAATATATTGTAGGTACGACGGAATGCCTACTTATAAATATGCCTGTGATGCGAATAGAAAATCAAGTTTGTCACCATAAAAAACCTGGGACATTGACTTCCTCACCTTTCTGATCTCCACATCATCAACAAAATAAGTGGTGGAATGCTCCGAAGAAGGGCCAAACTGCATTTGGAATTCGCCGCGGAGAGCGGGATTTGCCAGTCAGTGGACCATTTAACAAGCATATCTATAGTAGGCTGTAGGGCATGTGCATCTTGTAAGGAGTTTATAGCTTTGTAAAGCTAAGGTCATCCGCGTATTGCTTGGACACAACTTCATTCCGTACGACTATAAGCACGATCAGCCGAGTAAATATCAAAGAGTGTGGGAGACAAAACCCCATCTTGAGGGATGCCACAAAGATGGAATACGTTAGAGTAGGATTATAATACGAGCCTAAAAGTCCTCCCAGTAAGACTCTAATCCACTCGTATACTTTCTCAAGGAATCCTAGCTTATTTATTTTGTGTAACAGCTTCCTATGGCTAACCTTGTCAAATGCTTGAGTAAAATTTAAATAAATTACACCCAGACACTTCTTATCATCCGAAGACGCTGTCCAATCATTGAGGGATTCTAGCAAATTGGTAGTGACGGATTCCACTGTTACGAAGCCATGTTGAGAAGATGGAAGAACTTTGCGCTCCTCAAGGTGGGAACAATATCACATTTGAGAAGTTTCTCAAGAAAAAAAAGAGATATGATGCTAACTGGCCTGCAATTGGAAACGTCCGAGGAGGGATGATTTTTCAAGATAGGAGTGGTATGTGAGTGCTTCCAAAGTCGGGGAACTTGAGAAAACATGAATGACCGGTTAAATATGTAAGCCAGAGGGAAGGCGATGTCATGAGCAATGTTCCTGACAAAAACGAAAGGAATACGGTCCGGGGTGATATCCGGGGTGATAGAGTATGAGCATGGTCACCTCATCTAAAAATTGTACACATCGCTTGCGTCAAAATGGCGGAAGGTTAAGACTGAGCTTGAGAATGTGTGATAGTATGGTGGAAGACAGTTGCCATCCTGTTGGCTGGACTCTTTGGCGAAAGCATTAGCCTTATCTGTCATTCGAGAGCAATTCACCCTTCTATTCCAAATCCGAAAAAAGGTGACTCATTACGGAGTCTAGACCTCATGAAGTTGTAAAAGCGTTGAGTATTCCTAAACTGAATGATATTCTTTTCAACATTATTGTATTTAAGCAACCGCTCTGTAAATTCTTAGAGAAAGTGTTGTACTCACACAGTCACCGCTAAGCTTGGAATACCGTAAGAGACACTCTTTATGATCTATAATGTTTAAGGTAAGGGTAAATTCGGTTTGCTCGGATAGCCTAAATCCAAGGAACGAAAGAATCAATAGAATGATTGAGGATCGAAAGGAACATCGTGTTGGTCCATTCCACTGTAGGAACCGACTCGAAAATTCAGTTCATAAGACATTAAAAAGGTAAGTTACAATTCGTGAGTAATCACATTCAGGGAATAGCCACTTCAAAATAGGGATGCAAGGTGGCATGCATACCGAAATTTCGAATAATGACTGCTTTAGCCAATAGGAAACCTCATGGGAACATTCTCAATAAGTTCGTGATTATTTGAGAACAACAGGTCTGAAATATTAATCTCTCTGGTATATTCAGTGACATATTGCTCGAAACCATGCAAAACAAAAGTTTCGACAAGCGGATGGTGTGATTAGTCGACATCGCTCCATCAATCCCATTTGCTTTCGGAAGATTGAGAATACCTATTCTGAATACCGAGACTGCCGCAGCCGCTAGATCGCCGATAGCTCTCGCCAACTGCCCAGTAATATTGCATGAGGCCACCGTTGGCTTGTATGCTAATATAAAGGCGAAATTCAGGGGTGCAATGTCCGTCGCAAGAATTTCGTGACCTCGTGGAACTGACTCACAGAAGACAGCTGAATGGTTTATAGTTTTTCTTATTAAAATTGCAACTCCACCCCCGCTCGACGGCTTCAGTCACAATGCGAGGTGGCATAGTCACCAATCCAGTCATTAAGCATAAAGGACAATGAGTGATGTTTTTTGAGCCATGTTTCAGTAAAAAGATACAAATCGTACCTACTTCCGGCAACCAGAGAAATACAATTTTTTTCGGGAATCATCTTATGTTTGAATAGAATACAGAAATGAACAAACGAAGTGGGTCTGCGTTGAACATTAACATTTGCAAAATATCGGTGACAAAGCCTCAGTTCCTCTGATTATTGGAGTTAGGCTGTGAACCCAAATCTCGACTGCGGCTGACAGTCTGGGGAAGATCGGAATTTGAACGACGCAAACGTTCTTCTCGACGACGCCCTCTCTCTCTCTCTCTCTCTCTCTCTCTCTCTCTCTCTCGTCTCTCTCTCTCACGTTCCAAGAGGGACTCAATCAAAAAAAACCCCTCCCCCCGGGAAAGAGCGAAGCATACCTTGAGTTGCATACACATTGAAGAACAACAGGATTTCCGTAACAAGAAAGCAACGAAAGCAAATATTATCGGCAAGAAATTCGAGAAGAAAGAAATTCGGATCAGAACTGGTTGTATGGGGTGCCCCGATTCCACATGAAAGGCTCACGCATGCCCCGACTCCACATGAAAAACTCACACCTCGGTGTAAGGCGGAGTCGGGAAAAGGACAACGGACACATCAAATTCCACATTGCATCCCATAACGTCAGAACTCTCGACAGATGCACTCCTCGACGTGTATCTTCAGCAGCTGGTGAAGATCAATGCTGCTGTTGTTGGATTTCGCGAGACAAGGAGAGCAAACGATGTCTCTGCAAAGTGGTGGAGTGGGGAAGAAATTTCATCCGGGAGAAGTACCGACAACACGTCAAGAACAGAAGGAGTCGGTTTCATTCTCAAGACAGAGGTGTGGGAAAACTCCGAAAAGATAAGTAAAAATCAGGTCGACTATGTGTTGGCTCTCAGTCTTCTTCTTCTTCTTCTTCTTCTTCTTCTTCTGTCTACTTCTTCTTTGTCTTTTCTTATTTCTTTCTGTTCGCTTTTTCTTTTTCTTTTTTCTTATTTCTTTTTTCTTCGTGTCTTTGCACTGGTTGGTGTACCTTCTCGTTGCTTTCTCGAGGGTCTAGCTGTTGTAATGTACGCTGGCTCTGGTTCGTGTTTCTTCTCTGGCGGTGAGTGCGGTACCGTTTGTATTCGTAGTTGGTGACGAGAAGGTCGGGGGCTTGGTACTTCCTTCTTCTTCTTCTTCTCTTGTCTTTTATTTCTTTTTTCTTTTTCTTTTCTTTTTACGTTTGTTTCTTGCGGGCGCGTGTT